CCCCAAAACCCCAAAACCCCAAAACCCCAAAACCCCTTTGGACTTTTGTTAGGTGGAAATAATGAACTTGGGGGTGATTTTGTAATTAGAACGGTAAGGAAGGTAACTCACTGGGTTTAGGAGCAACCTTAAAGGAGGAAATACAGAAGTATGGCCTGTATGTCTTCTGAGATCCAAGTTGTGAGAGAGGAGCCTTTCTGTTTGTGGTAACAGGTATTTCGATAATGGGATCTAATGCTTGATCTCCATCCTCTATCTCAAGGGCCTTTAACACAGGAGAACCATGTAAAGAGCTTAGACCGCTTGCAGAGGATGCTTGAGTCTTCTGATCAATTCTACTAGTTTCAGGCTTGAATCCTGCTTCTAGTTCATAATTCGAGGCAGATTGCTTGCGATTCTTACATAGACTCTTAAGGAGATCAGTATCCTTCTTGATAGTTTCAGCATTCATAATTATTTTGCTCTCAGTCATCTTCATCGACTTTGATCTAAAATATAGCTTGCCCTTCCTTACAATTCTTGGTAAGTCCGTTTTTGTGGTGTATTATTCATTATGCTATATATGCCTAAAGCTATGATTAGTCCCACTAAGCCAAATTCAACAAATAAGTTTCGACTAAGTTTTGATTCTATTCTGTTAATAAATTTATCTAAATTTGTAACTAAATAGCATATCGAAGAGAGGTTGAGGCAAGCATTCTTTTAAAGCACCAAGAACTCCAAGATTGGAGATTTGCAGCCTGTCCAAGATCCTTCTCTGATATTTCATAATTTGGGGTATCTTCAAATATAACTTCGAATGGAGAGCAATTCTTAGGTCGAAGCGGGTTTGGATATGGGGATAAAACAAGTCCAAACAATTCTGAACATGTCTGATCTGTGTCGGTGTTGGAGTGGATCCTTGAATACTGCTGGATCATGCACTTACTCTGCTGTATTATTAGTTTTGACAAAGGTATGAGTACCTCTTTTTTAAAGAATTTTATTATTTATAAATTTTGGGCATAAAAATTTAATAATACTTCATTCCCTCACCTATTTGAAGGGGTTTTGGGGTTTTGGGGTTTTGGGGTTTTGGGG